GGAAGAAGATGACATGCGGGGCCATGATGGTGTGGTTGTCCAATATTCTAACCTGTCCACGTTGGAGCTCCATGTGTTCAAAATCGCTGCAACCGTGAAAACACCACCATGCAAAACCACCATAGAGGGTTATTTCCACCAATTTTTAATGTTAGGAAGGTCAGACCTCAGATTTCAGGTTTTATAGTTGACAATGTTAAGTGTGCTAGGCACTATACTATAAGGGGTTTGCGGACCACAGTGAACCTTTTCCAAAGAAGAAATATCAGTTGTTCAAAGCTTAACCTTGATCACACCGCGACAAAACAGCATCTCAACTACTTCTTTCACAATAGGAAGAAGCCCAGCATGGTGAACTCCAATTCCTCTTCGCAGAAGGCTTTGTATTCCTACGACCTAACAAAGATGTCAAAATCTATAGCATTAAAACAAAGTTAAGTTAACCAGTCAAAAACTTTGCTATTGGATAACCTGAGGAAGGTTCCTGTCGGATCCTTTGAGGCGCGAAAAGGCCTTATCACAGAAGACACGGATTTCGCTTTTATCAGAACTACTGGTGAGATCAGCACCAAACATGCTATCTGCTGACCTATCACACCTGTTCTTTGAGAAGCAAAAAATTACCACCTGCAGAAGAACCCTAGAAATGATCAGAAAAGGTCATGTCAAATGTTAAGTAACATACAATAGTACAATAGATAAAGGAAAATTATGTTCATGACCAAAAAATGATAAGATAAATTGTTATTCTACAATGGAGTATTAGGTTCAGAATGCACAATGAAAAGTAACATTTCAAAGCAGAAGAACATGAGGTCCAAAGAACTTGTCGTGAATTAAAACATGGAGAGATGTCAAAAGCAATCTTTCTCACATACAGGCACAAGTGATTTCTTCAAAAGGTTATTTATAAGCGGCATCCAGAATGAAGACTCAGATCTCCTTGACCCTGAGGTGCTTTGCTGAATTGCTGCTGCTCCTGAATTGGTTTGGTGGTGCTTTGGGTGCTTCTGATCTCTCCCTTTACTAGACGTGTCTGGATTTCTGCCTTGAGTTCCAGCACGTACTGCAGGAGTTCCTGATTTTGTTCCAGGTTTCGCTCCAAACTTGTTTGCATTTTTCATTTTGAAAGCGTCCTTGGCGTCTCTAAATCCTTGAGTAAGAAATATATCCTTCTCACATACTTTGTATACCTCTCCAGAGTAGAACAGGCAATGCTCGAGGGGAACGGGCCTTTTGTTAGTCCTGGTGAAATACAGTGGTCATACGGTGATGCAAATTGTGATATGACAGTATATGGTGAAAGAGCTTAAGAACAGGAAGCATGTTATTACAAAAGTGCAGTTAAGAATGTAAAATTACACTGTAAGGCGCTGAATTATTTAACCTCACCTAGAGCCCAATATTGTTGAAGCTCCTACACTGTCCAATTATGTGCAACCAAGCCAAAAAGGTATCTTGTGTTATGCCCCCCATATCGGGGAAGGGCAAATTGTTGTCTGTATACTAGAGTAAGAAGAGTGTTTCAAAAATACCCCTCCTTTAGGGAAAAATGAGAGGGCAAGAAGCAGAACTCAGCTCCCACTATAAACATGTCAAAGGAACGCAGTACCCTGACTGTTTCCTCTAGCTACTCAACTCCATCCTGTGTAATTCAACTCCTCCCTCTATCTCTCTGAGTGTATTTGCATTCTCTCTCAGCCTCTCAGGGACAAATACACACTTGCGATAGGCAAATGTTTAACACCAAATGACACATTTTGTTCCACTGAAAGATGAATCAAATAGATAACCAGCTAATCATGCAAGCCACTACCACCTGAATTATCTCCATGATCCACGCGGCCAGGCCCTCTAACAAATTACTGGCTCAATCAAACTACATGAAGGTGATTAACATAGCATGTGTATGTAATATCATCATATGTGCGTGCATGTTGATTACTTCTCCGGGATCCAAGCGTGCACCTCCTCATCCATACAGCTAGCAAGTTTTAGTAGGCGTGGACCATCAATAGGTCATATGACATGTTATTAATTTATTATACATGTGAAAAAAAGGGCCTAATAGGATCATCATAATTAGCTTATATGCTTATACCAACAGAAACAGTTATCAAGATTTTTATTGCACAAAATACTATAGTAGAGGGGCTGGTTGGAATTAACAAAACTAGATTAGAGGAGCAAAATCAAATAGGTTCAAGGGTAAACTGTACATTTTTCCCCCGCTTCAAAATTATAGCACGTTACACTTACGATGTGACACGAATTTTCTTCTGTTTTGTTCGGCCAATCCAGTCAGCAAATTCAACTGTATTCGGAACCTGGCAGAATAATTAAAAAGTCAAGCCTAAAGTAAACCTGAACATGAACGAAATAATATGGAATATCAAACTTCAGATTTTTCGTAGCACAACAGTGAAACGCACTTTTCCAATATATTTAATGTGTTAGTTTGTAATCAAATTTTCACACTAACCATTGCTTATCATTAAGCGGTTGCTACAGCCAGTAATAGGTGTGGTTGAATACTGTAGCAGCCAGAAACTTGCATAACCATAACCAGCAAATAAATTGCATTCCTGTACATGTATGACATAATCTAGGTTCCTGGATCATAAGACCGTACTTGCTTGCTATGAAACTTACACAATCAGACAATCTTCGATACTATGAAACTTACACATACTTGCCATAATGCTACGACCAAATCACCTTAAGATCTTCAGTATCAATTAAGAATCCAAAGGCAGCTGAATAGTACTAGTATTCCCTGTTCTGAAGAGAAGTCTGAACTATTATGTACTCCCTCCATTCCAATATCTAGTGCGCATAGTTTTTAGCCCATATACCAATGAGTGTGCTGGCATCAAATTTTGGACGAGAAAGCCCCCACTCCATCTCTATCCCAGCCCAGGTCCAAGTAGTAGTACTAGTTCGTACTCCACCCATCAGCGTTGCCGATGCTAGCTAGACTCCGGTGGTGCCGTCGTCAGCCGTCTCCTCCTCCAGCGCTGCCGTTCGTTAGGCGGCTCCTCCTCCAGCACCGTCGTTCGTCAGGCGGCTCCTTTTTTTGGCTCTTCCCCATCTTCTTCCTCCTCTCCTCCCCCTCACCCTCCTTCATCCTTCAACCAGTGTCGCCGTCGCCAGCCATACACGCAAGCGGTGGCCGCCCAGAAACCGGACACAGGCGCGTTGCTTCAGCTGCTAGTCGAATCTTGCCGCCGCCCATCGATTCTCGCTGCTGCCAGACACGGTGCGCAGCTGCACGTGTTGAACGGGCTGGTGG